TGTTGCATCTGTGGTGTGTTGTGTGTCTGTGGGGTGGGTCTGTGTGTTGTGTCTGCTTTGTGTCTGTGTTGCATGTGTTGTGTCTGTGTGTGTGGTGTGTGTGTGTGTCTGTCTTGCACCTGTTATGTGTGTCTGTGTTGTGTCGTCTTGCGTGTGTTGTGTGTATGTGTGTGTCTGTGGGTGGGTCTGTGTGTTGTGTCTGCTTTGTGTCTGTGTTGCATGTGTGTGTGTCTGTGTTGCACCTATGTTGTGTGTGTCTGTGTTGTCGTCTTGCATCTGTGGGGTGTGGGGGGGGGGGTAGTTCCCCCCTCCCCCAAAAAGGGGCCGCCCTCCTTACTCGCGAGGAAGCTTATGGCCCCTCCTCCACCTCTCCCCGCCTCCACAGAGCGCCCTCAGCTGCGGACGATGGGAGTTGTAGAGCGGGACGCCCGGGAAAGCTGCTCCCCGCCCTCGGCCCGTCCCGCGTCTCCCCGGGGCCCCCGCGCAGCCCCTTCGCGTCCCGCCCCGCGGGGGATCCTTCCTCCGCGGCCGCCTCCTCACCCGCCGGCCAGCCACCCACCCGAGACGGCCCGTGTCCTCTACAGCCGGAGATGGAGGACGGAAGGAGAGAACGGGAGACGCGGGGCAGGGCAGGCCGGAAGTGGGGGGGGGGGCGAGGCACGACGGGATAGCGGCGGACTCAGTCAAGGGGGAGGGGGAGGAAAGGAGCGGGCGGCATAGAGATACGGAGGGAAGAGTGGCCCGTTTCCCCCCCTTTAGGTGCGATGCTTGCTGAGGTGGGAAAGGGGTTGTCAGAGCAAGGACTCTTCATTGCTCATCTGGGTGCAACTCTCATAATTCCCAGTCCAGCATCATTATGCATTCGTCCCTCAAATGATTGCATTTTCCCCAAAGTCTCCTTTACCTCTATGGTCGCGGGCGCCTTTTAATCTCCCCTGGAGACCATAGAGGCAGGCCAGAGTGGACGGTGCGCGCTCTCTCCTTACGCCTCATTACCCCTTTCCCCATCCTCTGCGCACGCGCGCGCCTCTCTCTTACGGCGCCCGAGGGGCGCTTTTTGGTTTTTGCGACGTTTTTGCGGCCTTTCTCCCGCCGCCCCCCCTCGACGGCGGGCCTGGGCAGCCGCTGCCGTGCGAGGCCCGTGAGGAGGAGGAGGAGGAAGCGGCGGCGGCGATGAAGCTGAGCACACAGGCCTACTGCAAGATGGTGTTGCATGGCGCCAAGTACCCGCACTGCGCCGTCAACGGGCTGCTGGTGGCCGAGAAGCAGCAGCAGCAGCAGCAGCCAGGTCAGCGGGGCCGGGAGCGGGAGGCGCCGCCGCCGCCCCCCCAAGCGCTGCTGGTGGACTGCATCCCGCTCTTCCACGGCAGCCTGGCCCTGGCGCCCATGTTGGAGGTGGCGCTCAGCCTGGTGAGGAGAGGGGGAGGGCGGGAGAGCCTCCCTGGCCCGGCGCAGGCTACCTGAAACGGCCAGGTGCCCTGCCTTGTTTCTCTGCGCCGTACGGGGTGTGTCTGTGTGTGTGTGTGTGTAATATACATCTATGTATCTATGTATATGTATCTGTACATATATATGTGTATAATATGTGTGTGTGTGTATGTATATAATATGTGTGT